GATCAAATTTAACCGTATCGATATTCTTTGGATAAATTTATAATACTTAGTTATTTCCAGCTTCAATTTGTTTATATTTAAATAGGACATAAAAACACGGTGCCCATTGTAACGCTTAAAAATTATCGGTAAAAAGAAAAAAAGAAAAAATATTTTTGACTGAAAAATAGGTAAATCACAAACTAACGATTAAATCAGCCTTAAGTTTAAGTTTTGGGCGAATGAAAAAAAAAATCTGTGAATTGGTTTTCGGGCGCAACTCACGATAGGGCTGAATAAAAATACAAAAAGCGATTTTGTAATGGTATAAATATAAATATCTTGTTATTTAACGGTTATCTGCGTTCACTGGTATAAAAACCTTTTTGGATAAAACTCTTGCTAAGCGTAGCGTGACATGTAGGAAAATGCTGAAGAAGACCAAAACGATCATTGTGCAGGCAGAAACAATTTGCTTCTTCAATCTTCATTTTATTTAGCTCTAGATAACGGCTTTATGAAGAAACATAAAAACTACCAACGTTGCCGGTGTTTTTAAAAATAAATATACTAAATGCACAGCAATTTCCACGTCTAAGCAAATAATGTGAAAATTTTAATTCAGGCGTTCATCGTTCACACTTCAGATTTTGGCGGTGCCACCGTTTAAACTAAGGTCCATTAACTATTTTTACAAATCCGACGCTCTACATAGTTTCTTCCATAGAAAGTATATGGCCGACACGACTGACACTTGATCAAATCGATTCGATCCGAGTTCAAAAAGTAGTTGATATCGTAAGAAAAGTTTCGAGTGCATACTCATATTTACTTGTATGTTGTATGAATGCACTCTAAAAATGTTAGCTAAGCGATTATAAATTTTTTCACGATTACATTTTCACTTCTGATTTAAGAGTATTTTGCTGGGTACATGCATACACATGATACTCAAAATGGAAGGAAGATGCCAGATCTTTCATTATTATTTTTATTATTTAAAATTAATTTGAAAGACGTGAACATTTTTGTCAACCTTCGATCGGTTTGCAAACCTCGCCACACACGTTGAAATCT